AAAATTCAAGTTTTTATGTAAAAAGTTTTCCCACTGGGACTTAACAAACAATTCCGTACGTCGGCCATGTCCACTTCACATTTAAAACCACACATGGAGTGAAAGCATCAGAGCTATCTTGGAAAATATCTGCTACTGAATGAGGAAATCATTTTGATCCAGATCTTTTCAGCAGAACCTGAAGTGTTGATTATTTTTTTGGATTAATAATCGGACAGCAAAAGCTTCCTTAAAGGAGATCAAATGAAACCAGGTGAAACTAGAACTTTTCCACTTGAGGAGTTCTTGATAGAGCATATTGATAGATGAAAACACTTTTTTTTTTTATCTTAAATGCAAAACAATTACATATATTTTTTTGACAATCTTGGAATAATAACCGCTCTGTCATCTAAAGTCGTTTTTTAGACTCTCTACACTCCAGTTAACAATTAATTGATTAATAAATTAGTTGTTGTTGTTTTTTTGCAAAATGTTCCCACCGGGACTTTACAAACAAGTCAGCCCCGTCCACTTCAATTTAAAGCCACACATGGAGTTAAAGCATCTGGAAATATCTGGTACTGAATGAGGAACGGAAGAAATCATTTTGGATCCAGATCTTTTCAGCAGAACCTTAATTTTCCTGAATATTTCTGAGTTTCGTTATTTTGTTTTTTTCTTCTTTTAGTTCTGAGAAAAATATTTAAGGACAAAATATTCCAGAATCCAGAACATCTGTTAAGAGATGTGGGGGTCAGAAGCTCAGAACGTTAAACCTAGAATTCAAGGAGACGGATCAGAGCTTTATCGAAACAAGCGTTTATTATCCGCCCCCAGAGTTTGAAGAGAAGAGTCAGAGCAGGCTGAGGAGCAGAAACCAGCACACAAGGAAGAGTCGGGAAAATACACAACCAGAGTGAAAGCAGGAACAGGTTTCCAGACAAGAAGATCAGGAGTCCAAAGAAGAGCTGAAGGGAAATCTAAGCCGGGGTCAGAAACTAGTCAAGATCAGGAAATCATAAACTCACAGATTGCTAGAAAACTCTTACACTCAGTTAGAATAATCTGGCACTGATGGCTGGAAAACAGGCAGCATAAATAAGAACGGGAACAGGTTAATAAGATGAGCGGTAATGAGCAACCAGGCGGATTAGGACAGGTGAATGGAAGAAGCAATTAAGCTCCAGGATCATGACAGTGGAATTATTAAATGATGAAGATGGACTAACATTTTATCAGCAGGTTTAGACCTGCAGATTTGCAACCTTCCAAAGTTTAACGATCGTTTTCCAAACAACTCATCACTAATTAACAGCACAAGGAGAAAACAAGTGATCAGCATCCACTAACTGAACCATTTGCTATAACCTGGAGTTAGTTCAATGGGGAGCTAATCATCAGCTTTATACAATGCTGAGGTGTCAGCGGCTGATGATGTCATAGATGTTTATAGTTAATGCCATGATAACAATAAGGAGGCATGTTCTTATTCATGTCTACCAGGTGGTTTTCCTTACTGGGCTGTATGAACCCTCAGTCTGCTAAAGTCCTGCCACTCTTGTTCCACCTTTCATTAAAAGTCTAGTTCCGCCACTGGACAGCCAGATGTTGAAGTTAAATGCTGCTTTCCTTATTTTGACTGTGGGACCTGAGTGGCTCCAAGGTGAAGCGGCTCCCGCTCCATCCTGTCCGCGCGTCATCAGCGCAGCGCCAATCGCAGGCACGCCTCCTGCGATGCCAAACATAAAAGCTGCTGCGCTCCAGCCTCCGCAGATCACAGAGCAGCACACAGGTGGTGAGTTTATGTTTCATATTTAGGATGAATGTAAACGTGACGCTCTCGGAGCGCAGCCTGGCCGGCTTTGGCGCGCTGGCGCAGCGGCTGTTTGGGAACAAATCCTTGATATCTGTTGGGAATGACACCGGCGCTCCAGGAGCGGGGGAGGAGGACTTGGAGGTGAACACCGACATCTACTCTAAGGTGATAGTCACCGTCATCTACGTAGCTCTGTTCGTCGTGGGCTCTCTGGGGAACTCCATCACTCTCTACACCCTGCTGAGCAAAAAGACCCTGCAGAACCTGCAGAGCACCGTGCACTACCACCTGGCCAGCCTGGCCGTGTCGGACCTGCTCATCCTCGTCCTCTCCATGCCCATCGAGCTCTACAACTTCATCTGGTTCCACTACCCGTGGGTGTTCGGGGACGCGGTGTGCAGAGGTTACTACTTCCTCCGGGACAGCTGCTCCTACGCCACAGCGCTGAACATCGCCAGCCTGAGCGTGGAGCGCTACATGGCCATCTGCCACCCGTTCAAAGCCAAGAGCATCATGTCCCGCAGCCGCACCAAGAAGCTCATCAGCGCCATGTGGATCGCGTCCTTTGCGCTCGCGATTCCGATGCTCTTCATCATGGGCCAAACCACGCGCAGCGGGGAGAAGATCTGCACCACCATCGTCTCTCCTGTCACCCTGAAGACCGTGTTACAGGTTGGTGGCTGCTGGGGGGGCTGAAATATCAGCTGCTGGTGCTTTTATATGTATATATATATAAAAAACACATCTAAAGTGTCAGTACAAACTTCATCCATAAAAGGTCAGAGTGTGAGAAGGAAACTAAGATGAAGAAAGAGAAGCAGGTTTGGGGTGAAGCTTTACGCGCAGCTGCGTCTCCGGTCGGTGCTTCCAGTTTGTGCATCGGCATGCGGGCTGATCACGCAACACTGGAGCTCATTCTGCTCTTAAAATGCTTCCATTTTTTTATACAGATGTTTTCCCAGTGAAATGGTGAGGATCAGCGCTACAGGTGTGATCCAGCTGCCTTCTCACTCCTGATGTCAAATAACCTCGTTCCCAACCAAAGTAAATAAATAACAATAAAAAACATTAAATATTCAACCCGTTTCTCATAAGAACTATAAAACGGTGTAGAAATGTTTTCTTAAACTGCAAAAAATACCTAGAAATAAGTCAAAATGTCTTAAATTAAGTGTATTTACTCTCAGTTTGAGCTGATTAAGATGATTTGCCAATGGAATTAGGATTTTTACTCTTAAAATAAGGTAATTAGATATTATACACGTGAAATAAGACAATTAAATTTTTTTTTCTTATTTTAAATGTAAATTTCCTTGTTCCATAAAAAAAAAAAAAAAAAGGGTTAACTAGATTTCCATTTTTTCCAGTGGATTGGATGTGATAGACCGTCACAACCCTGATTTAAAGAGAAATAGATTCATATTTTAATTACAGCTGCAATTGTTTTGGAGTATCTCTTCAAGTTTTGCTCCTTTAGAGGCTAATGTTTCCACCTTGTGAAGATCAGTGTGAATGTTCAGAGATTGAACCCCGATCCAAACCTTTCCATCCTGACGTCTAAACATGGCTGAGTTTAGGCTGAAAAGGGACAATCACTTTGTTTCACAGAAGCTCTTCTCAATTAAATCAACAGACTGAGGGAACAGTGGCCATGAGGAAAGATATTTTACACAGAACATTCCAGCAGTGCAGGGGCGTAGCCAGAAGTTTTAAATCAGGGCGGCCAGGCAGGAACCAATGGGGGCCAAATTAGATCGGCGTCAGAATCTCAGAGTCTATCTACTCTGGTCCAACAGGAAAATTAACGAGCACAACATCCATATTTTCTAAGTAAAGACAAACTATACTTTCATACAGCCTTTGCTAACAAATAGACGCAGATATTTAAACATCTATGGCGTCTAAATTAAAGGCATATTGGAAAAAATTCTTAATTATCTATGTCTATGATTTGACTGAAGACTCCTTGATGACGTGCAGAGATGCATCATTTTCTCTTTACCCCATAAAACACAACATCTAGTTATAAAATGAGCATGAATTCCGTACTCTGAGTAATTAACAGAAGTATTTTTGTAATTAATTGTGTAAGTAATTGTTAATATATGTAAAATTTAAATGTTTTTCAATATTCCACTTGAGAGTGTTACTGCTGCCACCGTCTCTATTAGTGGGAAAAAATGGTAGGGGTGGCTAATGATTGGCTAAGGGTAGCCATGGCCCCCCCTGGCCCCCCATGTAGCTCCACCCCTGTAGCAGTAGTTGTGTTTTTAACATAAATAACATAAATTGGTTGCAGAAAATAAAAGGCTTTTTCCTTTTGCTTTGGCAGGTGTCCTTCTGCTAGATGCTCCTCCACACAGTTTAGCTTTAATCATAACAGTGAGTAACTCAGTGCAGAGGAAGGGATGAGGGGGGGGGGGATTGGTCCTTGGTGGATTATTAGGAGCTCAGACTAAATTCTGCTTCAGGGTCGACAGCATTGCTGGTTAATCTGCTCTCTGAATGTCAAAAAAATGAATGCAGCTTCCTGAGAGTTGCTTCCTAAACCGGGCATCAGAGTTTCATGGTGATCAGCAAGTTTTCCGATTTAATTCGAAAATATAAATGTAGAGTTACTCATTTAAATATCTGATTGTTTTAATACAAGGAAGGTCAATTAAAGTAAAGTTTAATCTGAAGTCTGCAGGACAGGTTCAAAAAGAAGCAAATCATGAAATGTTCTGGTAGTTATTAGAAGTCAGAGTTAATCCGCCATCATCGCAGTGAACCGATGAAACACTGAACCACAACTACTGAGCTCTGCTGGAAGTCAGTTTAACTGGGAATCCAGTTTCTCCATCAAAGGAAAAGTCCGGTAAGCGAGGAATAATCAGTGGGTCATTATTTATACCTAAAACTTTTGCAGTTATTTAATAAATTCAATGTTAATCAGCAAAAAAACATAACAATCATTTTCGTTGCAATCACTGAGTCTGGGAGTGGCAAATTTTTGCCCAAATATAGTAACCCCTCCCTCCTGCCATCTTCCAGCAGTGACGTCATGGTGCGGTAAGCCTAGCTGTCATGATGGGCTTCAGAGATCTAACCAACATGCAGATAACCACTCAGAGACAAAGGGAAACAGTTAACTGGATTATTGCAGAGGGTAAAGGCTCAGAGAGAGAGATAGATTGAACAGGTTTTCTCAGAGGGAGATCCAGGGATCAGGTGAACCGGAACAGGAAACTCTAGGGGGGGAAATCTCAAGGATGAGTTCAAGGGCCGTAGGGAAAATGATCGAGGCTGATGAATGGTTCAGAAAAGATCGAGGGGTTGTTGGAAGATCCTTGGGTCCAGTTTGTGGGGGTTTGGTCCAGAGAAGATTGTACTCGTTGGAGGGCAGAAAGGCAGACTAGTGATGGGTCCAGAGGAGCAACGGCGCGGACCGTCACAGGATTTTCCAGAGGTGGGCTTGAATGGATCAGATGAAGGTTTCCCCTTGCTCAGAGAGACACGAATATTTTCTTCCAAGGGGGTAGAAGGACCAGGCTTATCCAGCGGATCAAGAGGGTTATCCTACCGGAGAACACAAAGGAGAAAAAGGCAAACTTAGACTCAGAGAGACAAAGGAACAATGGTTAGACTCAGCTAATCTCAGTTTTGGCTAGAGTACCCAATACTGGCAAACAATCTGGCATCGAGGTGGTGACAGTACGCTGCTCAAATACTCCTCTGGCAATGACCCAACGAGCCACAGGTGTGGGAGGAAAACCGGAAACAACCCGCCAGGCCAAAACGGGGAAGGAGCACCATCTAGTGGTGGAAAGAGAAACTAAAAGAAAAACAAAAAAACAAACCCCACAAACAGGACCCTAACACTAGCGCCACTCTCCCCGCTTTACAAACCAAATCAATGGGAACTACTAGACACATCTGCAATCAACAACAATTATTGAAGATTTCCAGAGGACTTCACCATTGAAATTCACCAGAGCTATAGTG